GAACGTAATAGTGGTTACGGATAATTGGAGATTAGTATATTTATTTATATCAAATGGCAGGTGTTGTGAAAGTTATCATTAGCCCTTTAGTTGACTTCAGGCTTCACAAAGGAACATCAAAGTGAAACAAGTCGAGAGGGAGAAAGGGAACAGAGGAGAGTTTCAAAGATGTAAAAGAGACAGACACAAAAGTGGAAAAAGGTGAGATGAGTACTGTGAAAGTAGTTGAATATGACATACAATGGGGTAAGGGTAGTTTGAAGTGAGAAGTCAACTGCCAGTTAATAGACTTTTTGCCGTATGAGTATACGTTGCCCAGGGTGCACCACGTGGAGGTAAGTCTATCGCACGGCCCTTGGAGATTAGTATACTTAGATTAATGCAAAGATTACGGGTTCAAAGGTGCATTTCCGAATGATCTTCGATCAAACAACACCAATCGTTATGTGCATTTCGGGCTTTCAAGCACAAATATATATATTTCATGAAAGAAGCTTAAGTTATCACACACCACCCCTCGGTTCGTTGCCAAATTCGAACTTGACGAATAAGACTTTTAGTCATATTGAAGAGGAGGGAAAATGTATTTCCTTTCAGTGAAATATCCACTGGTTCGACCTTGAACATCATGGCACTGTTACCGTCCATTCTTAAAGAGCTGTTACTACCCTACTGCACTTCTGCACCCACCGAACAAATAAAGCGAAAAAACAAGTAATTTCATGGTGCCAGCGAAAACCCTCAGCATACGACCATTTTGGAGTTTATAACTGAGCCTATGTAAAAAAATGAGTGCAATCACTTATTAAGTAAATAAATTATGGATATTGCTTGCGAACTTTTTGACTCACCCTTGTATTCTTTGGTTCGATCAAAAAAACATTGAATCACCTGATTGTCACACTCGCTTCCAATCTTTCCATTTTATAGCCTGATCGAATTTTTTATCTTAACTTAACATGACTTCATACCGTGAAATTAATCTAGCGTTCTAGATTCCTTTAAAAAGGTTGTCGATCTTTGGGATGGCAAGTGTTGCGAAATACGAAGACAAAATACTTCTGTCACCTCATTAACTGCGTCCCCTCCAATGCCTTTTCACATTGAAATATTGTTTATTATGGCACATTCTAACTAACCAATAACTACACAAGACCTGCTGATCATAGCAGGAGCCTATATGCATTTGTATCGATTTGTTCTTTGTAAAGGAAATAAGTCGCAATTTAATCAATAGCTGTGCAATTCTTTTGTTCTGTATCCATAATTTCGATTTTCAACTCCTGAATCATGATATACATATATCAAGATCTGGGCGCGGAAATTTAATTTTATGTTATTCATCCCATGTTTTTACTAATTTAATTAGATTTGAAATCAGCCGACCTATTTGAAGGTCATACTCTAATTTTCAACTGACTGATTAAACTATTCTCAACTGTATTTGCCAGAGCTCACCTGATTTTTTAATTTCTTCAGTACTAATTCATGAGACTTCAGGATTGGTTTGCATTGTTTTATATGAAAAGCAATTAACACATAATTTCATTATAGAACATTTTGGCGGAGAAAGTAAGCATAAGGTGTTGACAGCTTGCTCGCCAAATTATTTCAAAACAAATAGAATATATTGAATTTTGGTTTCATGCCAAAATTGCTTAGTCATAGCTCAGATTGTCTGGAATCTGGGATGGACCTGATATATATAATATAATTTATATAAATCCTCAATTACAGCAAGATAGTAAAAATTAACTCACAACTCAAAAGTTCTAGACCTTGCACAAAATGCATACTGTTTGCATTCACTTCAGAAATATAAAAACCATAAAATTTATTAATTTACACTCCCATCGCGTGTGAAAAATTTCACAACAATAAATCGTATGACATTCAAACATACTCCAAGCTATAAAATCCCCTGGAATATGACCTCCTCCGGTAACGCTGAATTGAATAAAAGCTTATTGAAAAAAACTGGAAAGAGATTTAAATTGGTGCCGTTGTTTTAGCAAAATAGGGGGACAGGCGTTGTTAAATGGATCGATGATTTAAGCATCTGACTTCTACTTCCTAAAGTACATTCCGTACAAGGTGACTCATTCCAGAGTATTTGAGGACAAACGTGTTGTAGTAAAGGTCGCCAGTTTAATGGGCGAATTTTAAAAATGCAAATTGAATAGCTGGTAGAAGTCTCTGTGAAAACCCCTACTTCCATAACCACAGGTCATTTTACCGTTCTTATTGTCGAATTGGAAACTCGACGCTAATTTGGCGGTAATTATCCGTTTCTGTTCACCAATACTAGTTGTCATAGGGGTAATCTGATGAGTTCGATCAAATTTAGTCGTGCAGGATGGTAGTGACCCGTTGTCTTGACCACTGGAAGAAAAACGTGCTTTCGCTTTGAGCATGCAATGGCTTCCAATCTTTTGAAGTTGTCCAATTAGGGTGTACTTCAGATCGCTTTGAATTAGACTTTGACTAATATTCAGTGACCTTAAGGGTCAAGTTCCAAACAAACCTCAAAATTGGAATTCTCAACTTTATCCCTCTTTTCTCCGCGTCAACATGAGTGGAAAAATATCCACTCCCTCCTCAATTGACATTTTTAATAAGACTTTTATTTACATGAATGAATGCTTATTAACAATTTCCCAAATCTCTTCATTTCATCTGATCATAACCAAAATTCTTGAAAAGATCTCTGATCCATAACTGTTCAAGAACGTGAGGTTCGAAAACGTTCTGGTCAAACGTGGACAATGTGACAGAAAGTGGTGAAGGCAGATATGAAGTGCCTTGAAGATCTCAAGGTCATAATAATAATAATAATAATAATAAAAGTGAATAATTTTATGATATTTAAAAATACATTATCATAAAAATTCGTACATATCAAACTTTTGTTGGTGGAAGTATTGCAAACACTCACTAATCTTACCAATGCATAATAAAATATTACCACTCACATTCGAATATTTAGGCTCTAATAAAATTGTCAGAATATAAGCTGAAATAAAGAGCAAAAGATGGCATTAAAATGTTTTCTTGCTATCTGTGCATTCAAACGAACTTCAATTTCCTTAACTCAGCTGTTTAAATTATATATCCATTTGTCAAATTCAATTATTATTTTTATTTAAAAGGAAGCATTACCATTGAGATCGGTTAGCTCAAGTTGCTAAATGGTTTAATTTTCTACTAAATTGTCAGAAATACGGCATGGAGATTCAGTTAGAAAGGAAAATTCATTTCATTCGTTTTATTTCTCCCCTTATCAAGGTTAATTTAATTTAAGTTAAAATGGTAAAATGCGTTGAATCTCACTTTTCGGAAACTAGTAATTCTCCGCTAATTCAATTAATGGTTTCAATAATCAAGCGTATTTAATGAATGCACATGGGTATTAATTCCTATGCAAAAATTGACATTAAATATGAATATAATATGATTTTTTTACTATACAGCAACCGCTGTACCTAGTTTGAACCGTGCTTTAATGTGTATCGATTTTTTCGACTTTTGATCTGGTGAATCCATGTTCAGCTACCTCTTTATTTGTTGAAACAATTAAGCAATATGTTTATTCGCGAGTAATAGTAGCACCAATCCCAATGCCAAGTTATCTTTCTTGAATTTTGAAATTCTTAGAAAGCTTGTTTAGACGCCAACGAAAGACGCGTAATGAGACAGGGGCAAACTCAAATGCCCTAAATCTTTCCCTATTTGCAGTAATACATATTCCAAACCATATTATTGATATCAACAGTAATTGATCAGTGGATTAAATGAAAATATTAGACTAAATGAATACATCCCATACTTTTCAAGAACAACCCTAATTATTAAGCCCAATTTCATTGCACTATGTGTATCAGGCAAACAGTGTTTTAAAACGAGAGAATTTAATTCGAACAACTTCGGTGTTGACTCAGTTTTGGAGGTTTAACTAAAACGACGGAGGAAATAAAAACATTTAGTGAATGACATTGTGAAAACAATGCACATACATATGCATAAAATTTCATTTAAAAGAAACTGACAACGATAAATCCCTAAAATGCCTTCAGAAATAAATATATTAAAGTTAAGTTAAATTAATTATAATGAAAAATGGGAAATTTCTAACGAGATTGAATTTACGGCACATTTCCAAAAATTCGACACTTCGTCAGGCCTTATAGGGAAAGTCAAAGCATGTGGGGATGATGCCTAAAAAGGGCGTGAACGCAGTTATCTGTGGAGATTAATAAGTCCACATCGCCTTCGCCTTCTCAGCTCTGTGCGAGGCAATGGGGCAAGGGTAGGTTGAGGCAAAGTCTATCAACTCCGCCATATAGCTCAATCGGCCAAGCAACCATGCAGTCAGCCATCGAAGCAGTCAGCAGCCGCCCACAGCAGAAACAGGGAGCGCCAATCTCCAAAGGCAAATTCCAATTGGTGCGCCGTGCCTCAAACCCACACACTGATTGGTTCACTCCGCACTCCACCAGTTCCGTTGAGCCCATCGTCTCCATGACAACAGCACGAGAGCGATATACGAAGCTGCCGCAGAAGTGACTAACTCCTCCTGTTTCGTCCAACATCCCTCAAACCTCTCAAGTTATGAGAGGTTTGACAATTTTGACCACTTGGATTATTGATATTATTATTATTATTATGCAAAGTAAAATAGCCAGGAAACCAATTACACAATGAGCGGGACCAGAAGAGGATTGGTTGCACCCCAAAATACCTTCCTGGAAAAGATCATTCGCAGATGCAATGGCCAGTGTGAGTACTATTGTTTAAAAATTAACTTCTCATTTCTGAAATACATACTATTCGGTTGTCTGGGATTCCACTTAGAGTTCATGTCATTCCTTACCGAGATTCATTACGCGACAATTCGAAAATGCCTTCCTTTACTTTCTGTATGATTTAAGGATCCACTTGAGAAATCCATTTTTTTTCTAGTAACTCATGAGGATGGCAATTTATCCCTAATGATTTATTAGACATTGCATATGTATGCATATATCAGTGTGGAATATCGATTATCGATAACGCGAACGCTATTTTGGCAAAATTATCTCTGTTGCAAAAATTAGAAGCCGAAAGGAAGTATGGTTTTAAATAAACCTATTAGTGAGGCATAAAGTCGAATAAATTACCCCCAACGAAACGTATGAAGTAGGGTTCTTTTAAACTGCATATTTCAAAGATTTTCAGAGTTCTGAAAAGTGATTAATGCAGTTAAAACTTTTATCGTATCGTTTCTTTTGTTTGAATTATAAATGTAAATCCTCATTAATAATACCCAACTTTAACTTGGTAGCAATGGTTTAATTAATAATTCCAAAGGTGGTTTAAATGCAATTGTTTTTCGGTGAATTGGCATATAAATATTGGGCCGCTTAGATATAATGGTGACATTAGCACTGTAATGCCATGTAATCAAAATCAAGACAGAATGATTGAAAAATCGGTATCATAAGACCCCTACTCCGTTTTATTTCTTTGCCTCACATCCCAAAAATTTAAATTTCACTATCTATCTCCTAAATTAGAGAGCACGCTTTAACCGGGATATTCAATACTTATTGACAGCGTTCAATTTTCATTGAATTTAAGCTTTAGCCAACTTTCTACTTAGAAGTTCTTACCCTGCTCATCATCAAAAGAAGTCAGTTAGCACGGTGGCAATAATAATTCGAATTAATTTTAGTTCTTTTTTCTAAGCCAGCCCAACTTGTTTATCATGAGTGATATCTGGTAGGAGGCGCCAGCATGTCTTGTGTGGCTATTTTCTTAAAAAAATTAATTTTATCCTAGCCATTTCAACTGTGGAGAAAATTAGAGACAAAACAAATTCCATTTAATCACAGACTCTTAACTTTGAAATATTTTTAATAGCCTAAAAATAACATAACCCTCTTTCACATATAGCCTCGGTGATGTGAATACATTGAAGCACCCCATAGCCAGGTATTTTTCATCATCATGAAATCGTTTTTGTTAAAGAAATCTTTTTGCAATCGGCGGGTACACTATTACCTTCGTGGGATATTGATGTCCTAAAATCTACCTAGATTTTTGAGTGAATATTCGTCCCACGTGATCCTGCGCGACTTTTTGACTAACTCTTCAATTACTACAATTTGTTTTGACATTGCAATGCATTATTTTGCTCAAAGACCTGAGAAAATGGAATGACCTTATTGGGAAGTAAAGGGGTTGCCTTAGACACTAATAATCTCACAGTTTACTTAAATCAGATGGCAGGCGTTTTGATAATTATCATTAGTCCTTTATTTGACTTCTGGCTACACAGAGAGGAAGGAACATCAAAGTGGAAAAAATTCGAGGGGGGGAGGGGGTGGAACAGAGACTGTTTCAAAGATGTAAAAGAGACAGCTACAAAAGTGGAAAAGGTGAGGTGAGCACTGTGGAAGCAGTCGAATATGACATACAGTGTGATCATGGTTGCTAGAAGTGAGAAGTCAACTGCCAGTTAATAGACTTTTTTGCCATATGAGGATACGTTGCCCAGGTTGCACCACGTGGAGGTAAGTCTGTCGAACACCCCATAATCTCCCAGTAATTTTGTTAATACTGCATAGCTGAGATTGGAAAAAGTACCTAGACCCCCTGGTATCATTTCCGTAATTGCTTGACTTCTGTGAAATGTCGGCGATGGCTAATAATCAATAGTAGCAAGTGATAAAGATATTTAATTTCGGATTGTGAAAGATATGAATTACGTTGGCTTATAATTTTGACCATTTGGGGATAATGCGTTGAAAACTGTCAATAGAACTTAAGTCAAGGACTATATTAGGGTCAAATTCATAAATAGACATGTCTACGTGGGACATCGGTGCACTTCAGAGGTTGACAGAGAAAACTGAATGAACACCATGCCGTGAACTCAATGTACTAAATTTGAGCAACGTATTATATGGCGAATTACAACTATAAGCCAGAAAGGTTTTGATTCGCAGATATACTTTTCAATTTCAATTTTCTCTCCAGGCGAAGCACATTTCACACAGGATAGAATTATGTCTTCATTTCAGAATTTAAAATAAATGAAGGTAATAACGCTGAGAATAAATAGCTTCACAGCTATTTAATCAAACTCAAGTACGAACGCATGTATCAGTATTAAATGCTTATCCTAAACATTTGGGCGATTGGCTAACTTCTGTAAGTACTCCGACTATCTATCCTGTGTATATTTGAGAGCTTTGACTGGCCTACATCTAGAACACATTACTATAAAAAGATAAACTATCCAAAAAACATCTTTTTCCTAAACCTGTTGGGAGTAAAGTGTTATTTATATCGTAATTTAAGTTAGTTAGTGGTTAATAAACCATGTTTATTATTTACAGTGCCGTTAAATTGTGTAGAATTTTAATGTGCAAATACATCATAGCTCAGAGAATAGGAGAATGTTCCAAGCACTCCCCAAATGTATGGCTTCAGGAAAGGTAGACCCTAGTGACAGCGAAGCGTGAGTTTTAATTCATATTTCACACTTCTTTACTCCGGTCGGGAAGTTCACTGATTCATGACTGGATGTACAAAATCTTTGTTCTATCCCTCCCCCCTTTTCATAAATGAACGCAACACATTAAAAGGACTTTGATTTATTAGCACATTCCTATTCAAGTATCTAATACAATCAATGGTGCTATCTCAAGGTAAACTCGAATAAAGATCGGCGCAGAAAAAATAGGCCGATTTCGCTCCTGATATGCTTATCACGTCTTAAAATGCTATATATATATATATATATATATATAATATTCGGTTTCCAATTTGTTTAAATTAAAGTCGGATTTTATGAAGAGCGAATGCTTGCAGCCATAATTTTCGCACTACATTTGAAGGGAGTGGTGGTGGTGGTGGTGCTTTATAGTCCACGTAAGTGGGCATAAAAGGCTATCCAAATATTTTCCGATTTAATTATCACTTGACTATGAACAAAAATGTCCTCCACCCACATGTCCAGGCAGATATGCTCTTTGTGGTAACGCAAATGAAAGACATTTTTCCTGGTTTCCTCTTGTCAAAATGTGTGAAGAGTATAGTCTCTTGGTTGTGAATTCGGAATATGTTGCCCTGAAAACGTACCAAAACCTTCCTCACAGTAGAATTAGTTAAAGTAAATTGTATTTACTGACTTCTGCGTTAGCATGGATGATACAGAATCGTGGAAATTCTTTAACCAAACCCAGTTGTTGAGTGGAAATAGAGAGTTTCACTATCGATCTATGTCACAAAATTTAGCAATAACTAATTATCTAAAATATTGATTTTATTTAAGCTATGCACCCGATAAGAATAGCGCAGATCAATTTTGTTACGCAATAGACTTAAAAAGATTGATTTTTTAATTCCCACATCAATTTAGTGACGACTATTGCTGAAAATTCATTTAGCATTTTTTTCCCTACCAAATAAATGTGAATGCAGGAGTAATTTTTAAATACAATTTAATTATCACGTCGAACGATTTTTTTTAACATTCATTTGTCCGAAAACGTCAAATTAGCGTTCAATTTATGGGCACCATGAAATATTCTCTGGATGTATGGGAGTGGGTGATAAAAAAGAGTTTTTAAAGATTACGGTGTCCTTGCAGATTTTCTACATCCCGTTCCATTACCTCATTTGCTGAATGAGCTACTGGGGAAGGGTTAAACTGAGTAGAAGTTCAATCCGAACTCTTTTGAAAAAAAAATTTCAATTTTTACCAATTCAAACAAATAACTAGTCTTAAACCTATTCTCTCCAAAATGGTGTGTTTAGGTAGTAGATTTTTCTATCCCTTATTACTTCAGTCGACTCGTTTTATTGTTGGAAATATTCAAGAAAGGACCGATTTTATAGCAATCACACGTTTTGCTTAGTATACAGCTCACTCTTACAGGTATGTTCGTCTATTCCACAGCTGTCTACCTTGAAGCTCCATTCAGAATTTCCTTTGGAGACATATTTTTTCCCTATTTTATAAAAATTTCTGATGTTTTATTATCGAAGCAATAAAAATGCTTTTTTGACATTCAGGTTCATTTTAATTGGGCTACAGATTAAAATTCGTCCTAATCTTGATTTAGGCTTTGCAATCCGTTCGCAACGAATCATTTTCCAGATTCACAATTCAAAATTACTATTTAACGGTTATCTATCATAAACTTTATTAATATTTTGTTCAAAATGACCGTGTGAATTTCATTTACTCCTTGAATCTAATTAAATTAAGAAAATGACACCACAATTACATCAGGCATTTAGAAAATTCACTTATTTACACTATTCATTCATTTGAGTAAATAAATCAAATAAACAGCAGCTCAAGACGCAACGCAAGTAAAATAGAAATTAAATTAATATCTCATTTCCAATTAACAGACATTTGATACAGGCATTACATCTATTCATTTTTATTAAAAAAGAACTATTCCGCTTTTTGGTTTAATTTCATTATTCACTATTAACGCCATGTGTTTGCGATATTTCTTGTAACACCGCAATCATTTGTGCAAAAATTGTAAAATTAGTACAAAGTTTTTGTTTAAATTGATCAATAAAAATCAATCGAATTGGCTACTGAATCCACGCCCTACTTCCACTTTAAAATTTTGAAGGCGTTTGTTACGTAGACTCCACCATATTTTGCCTTTCATATGCAATGCAAATATTGATTTTTTATGGCCTTATTTTTCACACGTGTTTTAAGGTCATAACGAGAGTTAAGTTCATCGGATATTTACTCAATTCACAGAGGGGTATGAGTAACTAAAATATCAAAATCATACTGCAGATCACCAGCGTGCAGTGCTAATTTCATTCAACATAATACTATACCTTTGCTATAATTTAAAGATAATCTCTAACTCAATTATTCCCTATTATCAATGCAAGTTACCTTGGTAGCTTCAATTATGCCACTCAATATAGTCGATTTCGGGATTTCACTAGATTATAATTTTTCGGCGAAGTAAAGACTCCTATTTTCATTCTCAATTAATCATGATTCAAATTAAATTTTTGCCACGGAAAAGTTTCAATGAATCGGCAAAATATTTTCAAATCAGCTTAATAAATAGTGATATTTGGGTTTAATAAACCACTCTAGTGAATTTGCAAATTTTGGAGAATATTTTGCATTAATTTCCCATTTTCGGAAATTGATATCTGCAGATTGGTCTATGTTCATTTTTAGCGGCTTTCCTGAAAGTGATATATATATATATATATATATATATATATATATATATATTTATATATATATATATAGCGAATAATGACACCAGATTAATTCTTCCCCATCAACAAATATACACAATTGCTTGCATCACTATCTCTCTCTTAAAATGGAATCAAAAGCGTTACAGTTTATTTTTTTCAATTTGAGAACGAACTATGAATGGCTAGTTTTCAAATAAGTTTGAATTTCTTCAATTTTTCAAAATAAAGGTTAATTGCTATTGGTTCAAAGAACTTAAAAATGATTTCCGTGAAAGGGATTTTACTTTTTAATTAGATTTTGAAATGGAACTTTGCTTAGATTTTTCATAAATCTCAAATATTTGAGAGTTTAAATTTTAATATTAATAATATTGGGTTATTTACACAATCTGCAAATCTGGAAAAGGTTTCATCTTTTTCAAAACAACTTCCCCTCTTGAACTTTTCATTCGATGAATTACAGATGCTTAAGAAAATAAAATAACCAGATTCGAATTTTAGAGTGCTTTTTGCATAATTGAATGATCGATAGTTAGACTAATTTTAAACTTCCATGGATTTCAATAAACATATTCAATTTGCACTATAACTTAAGGAGAGAGTTGAATACATTTAAAACACCGATTGGTGGCGCGTACTTACCTCCATATTATCATGACAGTCTATTTGCATTAGGTGAAATTTTTGTTGAAAAAGTGCTCGGATAGCACCTGTTCTTTGAGGGGAATCTTAAATGGATATCGTGTGAATAGAATAATAAAATGTTTAAGAAGGCGTATGAGTGTAAAGTTGGAGAGTGGGTCATTTATTAACTGAATAAATAAATATGTGCGAACATTCTTGTTTCCGTAGATAATTACTATTCTTAGCAGTCTGCAGTAGTCAAAACATTAATACCGCCTGAAACTTTTCAACAGGAAGTCCATTAAATTATGAAAAGAAGGCGCTTCACTTGACTGTTTGGATTATTTCACCCTCCGACGCAGTTTCAACCTCATTTTTAATGCACACACAAAAAGTTTTGGAGTAATTAGAAAATAGTCCACATCGGAATTTACGTATTCATTTTGAGTAAACACGGCTTTAGGGGGGCTTTGGTAGGTTAACTTTATTTTGATCTTCCCGGGGGAGGGGTTGCACTCTGGGCAACGAATACACATACGGCAAAAAAGTCTATTAACTGGCAGTTGACTTCTCACTTCAAACTACCATCATCTCACTATATATCATATTCGACCCCTTCCACAGTACTCATCTAGCCTTTTCTCTGCCATTGTGTCTGTCTCTTTTTCATCTTTGAAGCTCTCTTCTGTTCCCCTCCCCTCTCGACTTTTATCAATTTGATGTACCTTCCTCTCTGTGAAGCCTGAAGTCAACTAAAGGGCTAATGATAACCATCAAGACGCCTGCCATTTGATATAATAATAATAATAATAATTTTGCTCTTCCTTCTCCGATCAATTGAAATTTTGCGGATTTAGAGAGAAAGTGCTGATTTTTTTGCTATTTAAAGCATTGGAAGGTGGAGTGTGCACTGATGTGACAGGACCAATCGTTATTGAATGGATAATTTTGCTCAATTCTAATTATTCAACCTGTTTTTTTTTCAATAGTACCTTGTGTAATAATAAGAAGTAGTGGTTGGGATGAGATGCTCAGTGGAGCATGCGTTATAAAATTCAATGTATCCTAGGGACTTTGCTAAAACGAGCTGGGAATAGTATTTTCGAATATTCGGGTTATTTTTACGCAAAAGTACACCCAACTCTTGCGATCAATAGAAATTTGGATGCAATGCTTAAGTGCTGTCTTGATTATCATGGAAATTCGTGAACGATTGCAATGTGTTCATGCAAAATCGTGCACCATTAAGAAATATGATTATGATAATATGAATATTTGAAATTGAGACGAACGTAGTTCAATTGAGTTATGAAAGCCCCTTTTTGTTGAAAATTGTCTATATTCAGGGATTGCTTGATCGATCACGAAATTCGACATCCATTGACGAACCCTTGAGCTTTAGAGTAAGTTTATTTCAGCAAAATCGAGAAATGGGTATTTTTTAAATTCACGAAATCGATTAGCGGGTTAACATTACTAAAATATAGCGATTCGTCCAAAAACACCTCTTTTGTATTAATTATTAAGCTATTAACTTTGAAATTTCAGCACCATAGGGCTTTAGATCGACTTAACTAATATATTGTCTTTTCTCAGAAATGTGTGAACAGATTGCAAACTAATTTACCTAGGGGGCATACATTCGATAGAATCATCAATCTCAAATGGACAATTTTTTAGATTAAAGTTTGAATAGAACACCTTTCTATCTTTGTCACCTGAAAAATTTTGCTTACATCATTGCCTAAATTCGAAATCTCTAGAGAAGACCTGAAGGTATCATTTCCCTCCCCCACATTTTTGTCCATTTTTGCAAGCCAGAAAATGAATTTACACATAATTAGAAACCAAACAAAAGAGAGAATTTCAATTTAAACTAATGACGATATATATTTAGACCTTTGAAAAAAAGTACTTGGGAAAGACTTCTTGTGTCAAGGAGACTAGAACTATTTTCAGATGTGACTACTCTGGCATTATTGTTCCCCACATAATTACATTCTATTTTAACTTTCACTAATTCACGCCCTCGTTGCATTTCAGTTTTTTTTTGCCACTCTTTTCCCGTTAGAATTATCGTCACTTTGAATATCAGACGAGCTCACATGACTTCTCTCAGCTGCAAAATTTATGGAACTTCCACTTTTTATTATTAATACATGACAATAAATTAATCGTATCATCCCTAGTTCTAATCAAATCTACTAGAATTTGCAAACGATATGGCATTTATAATCTAAACCACCTAAATTGGTAATTTAAATCGATTTTTAAATAATTCAACTCAAAAAATTGCTGAAATATAATTTCCTTTCCTGACCTCTGCCATTTACTGACCCTTTTTAATTAACGCGATCGTTTTCCCAAATTATCGAATGTCTACCGATGTGAATGAGTCTCATGACCTCTGTATTGACGTGCACAAAGGTGCTGACTGTTTTCTGTTCAATTGAGGCTTATTGATTAAGTTGGTACTTTAGAAACAATATTTTTGGACAAGGTCTTCGAATCAAAGAGTGGAGCTTAATGTCAAGACTTTTAAGAACCAATCATAACAGTGTATTTTTTTAATTTTATGTCATCCAATGAGGTACTTTAATTTCAAGTCAATGAGATGACCCTGTTTCGTTTATAATAATTGACAAATAAAACCTGACGCTGGTAGAAAACTTAAATTTTTTTCCAAAGATTAATAATGAATTATATATTAAATGAAATAGTGCAATTTTATAATTAAACTCCGCTTCCAATTCTGTGTTGTCCTCAAAATAAGCATTGGTAATGAAATTAAAAATTTTTCACAATAGTAATTGAATTTAAAAATTTTTTTGTCTATTTTAACTGAGTTATAATTTGATTCGAAAATGTAATTTTACACATTGTAACATTTTCAAAGGCACCATTTATTGGGGGTTGGGGGTTTGGGGGGGGGGGGCTAGATTTGGACCATGAATCCACAGTCCTTCATTAAAAGTACAACATGACTTTTCCTCGTTGAGCAAGTGACCAGGCCGTCACTAAATGAATACATTTTTACAAAGCCTTTGCCAGGTAGTAAATAACTGCAAGGATTCGCTGTGGCTAATAGTTCGACTAATTGTACTAAAATTGGTCGTTTTGAGACTGAAAGCTTATATGGGTAGTTCTCCAAGTGCACTCAGCAGTGGAACTGAGAGTAGAGGGTGAAAGTGGTGAGCACAATGCATCCACTCAATGAGCAAGAATATTTGAGATGAGCTGGGTTATAGCCGGGGCACGATACCAACCCAGTGCACTCTTGCCAAAGATACAAACATCGCATGGTTTACGCAATGCCTTCGAATATAAAATAAACTTTCTCATAGGTAAAGACACATGAATGGTTACGAAGATATCTGTGGGGTATTTGTGATCTATTAGGAAATTCGTTGCTAGCCATAAGTAACTTGAAAGAACACAGATAGAGAATCGAAGATGTCTCGTAACCTCGATGATGAAATTGCGACAGAAATAGACAAGGCTTCTGTGTGGTGACGAACTTATTCCCCAGTTTTTCGTGTCTGCACATGGGCAATTAGCATGAGAATGTCAAAATTCAGTATAAAATGTGATGACTTTAGTCCAATGTACTATCTTCGATTGAACTAAACTGGTGCCTCTATTGGCTTGACTGACTATCGATTTTATCCCTTACTATGGCATCTTGATTGTTAGTTTAAGTAACAAATTTTGCTAGACTCTTTGATTTCTTGTCGTCGCTCTTTGTGGTGGTGCTATTGGTAAAGATTTGGAAGTGCATTGTCATAGGTGATTAGCATAGGGGAGCCAAGCAAAGCCCTACTCTCATCGCACGAAAATACCTTACACATTCCATGGCAATAGAGAGAGAGAATCGACATAAAATTGCAAACAAAATGGAGGTCTTCACATTTTGGAAACAGTTATCTCACGTAAACAGGAAGTTGACAATTAAAGTTGGCTGTCTAGTCACCTTAAAGCAGGAGAAGGGTATTGGGAGGTAAGTCTATCGCACACCCCTCCGAAGTAAATAAAGAATAAGGCATTTCGGATTGAAATTAAACGATGTGGGCACAGCACTCATTATGGTTTAAAACCCACAACGTTACTTTCCTTGTTAATATTTAAATGTTTAAAACCAACGCCCTTTTATTAGTTTTTTTTATTTTTGACCATAATTTAACTGTTACTAATGAACTTGCAAAGAATTTGAAAATTTCGCTTGTAAAAAGTTTTAATTTTGGTTATTAGATAACTTTCACATGGATATCAGACACCATGTATCGGTAACAATGAGTTCCCATTTGTTTAAATGCGTGGGCGAATAAATTAGTTTATTTTAAGAAGGAAAATTAATTTTAGAAAACTTAACTGTAATAGTTTAATGTCTACTGTCTATCGCATACGTTGTTCGGGCATTTCGTTTTAATAAATTTAATAATATCTTCAAATTTAATTCACTTCATTAGTAGGTCATTTTCAAGCTGTAAAATTTTAGTTTCATTTTAAAACTGTAATAATATTCATTTACGATTAAAAATATTCATTCATTTCAAGTTTGCTTTTGAGAACGTTAGGATGTAAAAAGAAAAATTTTAGGCCACGCAAGATAAAATTGATAAAATTTAGTAAAATTTAACATTTCAGCGTTTTTGATGGTAAGACCCACATTTGCTACTCTCAAAAGAAGCATCTTATAAGATTTAAAACCAAACTCTTAATTTTGTCTTCAAGAATGTTTGAATGTTAATCTTCCTATTGGCCCTGTGCGATGTTTATTCATTCATTTACATCAAATGGTAGGCGTTTTGATAGTTATCATTAGCCCTATAGCAGACTTCGGGCTTCACAGAGAGGGGGAGGAACATCAAAGTGGCGAAAAGTCGGGAGAGGGGGAAGGAATAATGATTGCCTGATAGACACAAAGGCAGAGAAAAGGTAAGATGAGTACTGTAGAAAGGATCGAATATGACATACATTTGGGGTCATGGTAGTTAGAAGTGAGAAGTCAACTGCCAGTTAATAGACTTTTTAGACTGTATGAGTATACGTTGGCCAGGTTGCACCACGTGGAGGTAAGTCTATCGTACACCCCGCTAAGCGCGGTGTAATTCTTTTGATTTTGCAGTCAAATTCGTGAAATGAAGAAATATTCGACTTTAAAGATAAAATTGACAATCATTAATAAAAAATTCAACAGTACTGAGTTTCATCTTGTAAGATCCCCACCGTTTTATGTCCTTTAAAAGGTGTATGACTTCACAGGAGCATTTCCCTAATAGAGATGGGAAAGTAAGCATTGTGCTCAAAAAACGAAAACCAAATATCGATGATCTTTGTTAGTATTTCTGTGTCCATCTCTCTAGTCAATTTATTATTTAAATTAGATATGGCCTCACCCATCTCCACACTCAAACCTTCATGAAACTTCTAAATTCTAATTTGGACCTAATGGTACTATATTGCCAGGAATACGTTTGCTGCACAATCATGGTATTGGACGTTCGACAACCATATCGATTTATGAATCTAATGTTGATATTTCCATTTTACCAATAAATAAATATGACAAGCATAAAGAGGGAGATTTTTCAACTCTCATTTAAATAAATTTCTTTAATTTTAAAATTATTATTTTTTTGCAATTTTCTTTCAGTCCAAAGTTTCCTCTTGACCAATGCTCGAATAGTGGACTATCCCATAGTATACTGCAACGAGGGATTCGCCAAAATGACTGGATACAGTAGGGTGGATATAATGCAAAAGAGCGGGAATTGCTCCTACCTCTGTGGTGATCAAACAACTCAGGAGATGAAGGACCGACTGATGCAAGCTCTGGATAGCCAAACCAAGGAGCAGCTGGAAATTTTGCTCTATAAGAAGAACCGTGAGTTTTATTCACATTCTCAAAACCTCCCTTCACTCCCAGGCATCTTTAATCCCCTCTCTAATCCGCCATTTAACTTTTGAAGGTTTAACAATTTAGTGGGCTTATTAAAGAGAGAGAGAGAGAGGGGGAGATGTGGTCTAGTATTCACGCCTTTTTTTGTTATTCCAAAGGAACCCCACTCTGGTTGATGGTGCATATTGCTCCGGTTGTGAATGAGCGGGCCGAGACGGTATTGATACTTCTCACTTTTCGCGACATAACGGCCTTGAAAACACCCCTGGATGATGAGGATTCAAACAAAGGTAAAGACACCTGTTAATAACTGCCCATGCAAAGCTATTGTCCTGAAATCTCGCTTTTTTATTTCACAATGCCTATCTGTAAATAATAATTTTCAGCTCTGGACAATATTTGAGAAAATTGACATTCCCGATGGTACTAAGAGGTCACTACATAGGAACCTAACTCGACAAAAAACAATAATGTAAAGGGAAAGTACTTTGAAGGAACAAAACATTAATGCGCAGTTAGAAATATTTCTAAATAAGAGGGCTTGCTATTAATCCTAAAATTTCCGAATTGTCCGCACTTCTTGTTTATGTAATATATTTATTTATATTAAATGGCAGGCCTTTTGGTTGACTTCAGGCTTCATAGGGGGGAAGGAATATCGAAGGGAAAAATTCGAGAGGGGGAGGGGAACAGAAGAGTGTTTCAAAGGTGTAAAAGAGACAGATACAAAGGTAGAACAAAGGTGAGGTGAGTAATGTGGAAGAAGTCGAATATGAAATACAGTGGGGTGATGATAGTTTGAAGTCAGAAGTCAAATGCCGGTTCATAGACTTTAAATTACTGAATTTGAATGATTAAAAACCGAAAAGGGACTCTAATTGGTGTTTATAGTAAGAACAAGCAAATTCATCAACGTATAGTATCCAAGTCGATAATATGAGCTGAGCACTTAATTTAATTAGCCATGATAACAGCTTCGTTTTTTAACATTCCAGGGGAAGGGCATGCAGTACGTGCTTTGGTATTATTAATTTGTGTTAATTTTTTTCTATTTGAACACAAATTTTCCAAAATCAATTTTATAAAGTAACAATTGGCAAAAAAATATTTACCTTTAATAGTAAACAAAAAAATAATCGAGTAGATGGTAACTGTTTTTAACTGTTAATTGCAAAGGGAACTCCAAATGACTCCATTGATTGATTTTAAATCGCCATTTTCAGTTGTGTTTTTACTCTATTTTGTTTCAATTAAGCGGGTTTGAATAAGTTTGCCCGACTGGCGCGATCGGTGACGCGGAACCGGACAATGTTGCAGCAGCAGGTAGCAGCCAGTGCAACCCCCACGCCTCAGCCGACATCTGGGGCGCCACCTGACTGGAATCTCCTCAGCCCTGAAATGGCCGATACAAGGCATTCCAGTCGATCTCCTGGCTCCTCCATTTCACGAACCCCCTCGCCACATCCGGGCGAAGAACACAGCATCCTCTCACCCACACCAAAAGCTCAAGCAGATTTAGAGAAGGGTGCTGCGGTGAGTCTGAAAAATTTTGATTGGTTTCGATGCTTTGCGCCATTTATATTTGCTCCCCTTACATTAGTAGATGAGTAAGAATGACAAAATTGGCTACTTGAGTCCACAAACCAACCCTTTCAAATTGGCCTAGTTTGCGGTTATGGTCTTACTTTTTCTTTTGACATCATTCATAATGATCTCGTGCGTCGGCCAAGTCTTAGATGATAAGGCAAACTAGAACAAAAGTGGGGTCTTCAGAGATAGTTAACATTTATTTATTTCAAATGGCAGACATTTTGATAGTTATCATTATCCCCTTAGTTGACTTCGGGCTTCACAGAAGGGAGAAACATTAAAGTGAGAAAAATTCGACAGGGGAAAAAGAAGAACGATTCACAGATGTAAAAGAGACAGACAGAAACAAAAGCAGAGAAAAGGCTAGATGAGTACTGCGAAAGGGTTCGAATATGACACACAGTGGGGTCATGGTAGATTGAAGTCAGAGGTCAACTGCCAGTTAATAGACTTTTTTTGCCGTATGAGAACATGTTGCCCAGGATGCACCACGTGGAGATAAGTCTATCTCACACCCCGAGATAGTTAACATTGTTTTAAACCTAGTTTTCTTAAGTGTGGTTTTCATTGTCAAATTCAAATTTGTCCATGTAAGGAAGAATGGGAACACACACACGTACACACATTGGTCGATTTGACGGCTCTACTCTCATCTTCACCATTAACCTGCTGGCAAGATTGTTTCTACTACATTGGCAAAGATAAGCAGGCATTCGGATACTCATCGTGACTAAATTTTAAAGTATAAACGAAGTGGCCACATGCCTGTCTAAATCATTTCTTGTTTATCTAACTTTGAATTGAACTGCTAATTGAGTCAAGTGATATTTTGGTCTCTAATGCCACAAGAAACGAGGTTAGAAACGGGTTACAGAAATATTCACTCTTTAAATGACGACGGAGATTGAGAGATGCGTCATACGCTGAAATATTCCTTCTCTTTGTGAATACTAATCACAGGAAAGTATCCGCAATAAGTTGAAAAAAGAGAGTCTTAGTGAAATTCACAATTCACCCCAAAATTAAGCATTCTGAAATGTTTCATTACAATGTCAGTACACATGTAGGCATTATATATTTGATAATATAATGAAGTGAAAGTGAGGCAGATCATTTTCCTATTTGCCCCGAATCCATTTATATCGACAACTCCCTCGCCCTTCCCCCCCCCCCCACCCCACCCCACCCCACCATCCCTCCGCTCTCTCTCCTCATGTAATAAGCCATGTGTGATTAGTAATTCATGAGGTATATAGATGAATGTAGCGCAGAATTGTCATACATAATTTAGGTTGATATTGCCAATATTCGCCTAACGCACTAAGCACGTTCTTTAATTATGTAGTTCCTGCAGGTGATCGTAAATTTGCATTCGCTGATTATGACAAATAGGTAATAACTAATTACACCCAAATATCATCTTTATTCTGGAAGACAACCCATGATAGTGGGGTGTGTAGCCCCGAGGGGTGGGGGAGGGGGGGGGGGTGGGAGCTTATTATAATCTTGATAAAAAATAGGGGGGGGGGAAATAA